ATGCAAGCGCCATCTAGTGTCCAATAGATATGTCACTCTCAGCGTGAACTAAACCATAATTTCATATTATAAAACATATCATAATAATTAAGCGTAAAATTTTAGTTTTATCCTATCTTTTAATTGAAATTCCAAATCTAGATTAACTATTGTCAAAAACCGGAATTAAAAAATAATGTTTACCCAAATAACAGTAATGTAGTTCTACGCCATCTATCGCGCCATAGCTAAACTATGACATTTAAAGTTAACTACTACTTCAATATCTGTTTTGCAAAACTAGAAGTACATTAAATCATTTAAATAGATGGCGTTATAATACATTTACAAACAATTATAAATCATTGCAATACAGTCGATAAGTATACTTCGATGGACGTCTGTCTGTATCCAGATAGATCCGAATCTTGTCTTTAATTATTTTTATAAGTATTATTAATCATTTAATGATGTTAACATTTTTCGTAGTAAACTAATTTTGTGGGTACTAACTTTATATAAGTATGTAATGAGTATGTAGAAAAAATAAGAGTCGCCTATCATTTTTGGGCGGAACAAGACGCAGTATTTCCTGTAAAAAACATCCAATACTACAGATAAAAAACCTTTTGCTTTATTCGGCAATGAAATGTTTTTTATTAAGATAAAAACTCAGCTGCCATACCTACCATAAAATTATGGCGTATCACTTTAGATAAAAGGAATTAAACATCAATAAACAACAAAAGTGCTCTCAATGTACGCAATACTGTTTGTTTGTTTGACTTTGACGGAGCCAAATTAAAACGCTAATGGGATTTAAATTTAGGTCTCAGCCTAAATGTCGAACCTGTGTGTCTGGGTAAATTTGCACTCGAAGATAAGACCTCGCCGTGATCAAAAGAGGTAAAAAAGAGATCTTAAAAAAATATAAATTTTTCGTAATCGTATCAAAATTGCTTGTGTCGCCTTTCGCGCTGTTTCGGAAGTCTTAGAATTCGTAAGTATAGTGTAACCGATAAAAATCAATCAAACAAACTTTAAATTTGTATCATAGGGCATATAAAATGTTTATATTCTCACCCTCAATATTTTGTCTAAATCTGACGGACTTCGTGTTTCGTTTTATTGAATATAAGTACATATCCTCCGTAGCAGTCGAACCCACGACCTCTCGGTTATTATCTATTCATAAATTCAACACCATTAAACCAACGAGTCGATCTGTCTGATAGAATCTGTCTGTAGATACAGTTTGCACTGTTTTGTTTGAACTATGATATTATATCTATTACAATTTAGTTGAATTATCTTTTTTATACATTTAAATAAACATTCTTAATGGTATAAACACCCAATTATATTAATATACAATTTATTTTAACTACTATTTTTAGCATCTACCTACATATTATTTGCCTAGCTGTTGCAGTGACTTCGTCCGCTAAGAATATTTATTTTGGGCATCCAAATTCGTTTTTGCAAACCCCTTTATCTGTTGCCCACGACGTCGGTCGCGTCCCTTCCCGTCGTTCTTGCAAGTTAATATTAAAAAACATTAAGCGTCGCGGACATGTTTTAGGTGATTTAAAGAGGAATTTTTCTCTCATACTTATTTTTTTGGTATCTTGAATAAATTCTCGCTGTATCTTCGCTTTTATTAGTCACAGCGATGTTTTATAGCCTTCCTCGATAAATGCTCTAACCAACACAAAAATAATTTTTCAATTCGAACCAGTAGTTTCTGAGATTAGCGCGTTCAAACAAACAAACTCTTCAGCTTTATATTTTAGTATAGATGGATAACCAATTATTCTAAAGCTTCTCCTATTATACTTAGGTACAATTCTTAAGCTAAGCTTATATTCCCTGCGACTCTTAGAATTCCCTACTAACAAGACATCGAAGCACTATATATTTTACTCTGTTTTGTTCTCACTCTAAAAAATAACAGCAAACACCGTTCATCACGGGTCTGAGCTCTGCCTGTGTTATAGTGTTTTATTGAAAGAAGATAAAGGAAAAGCCGGGTAGTTGCCTCGGTGGTATAGCTGCCTTGGTTCTTATTACACTATGATTGGAATTACATTTAGTATAACGCTTTAATATAATAAGTACTTAATAGCCCCTCTTGAGGCCCCGGTACCGCAAAAACCACCAAAGTAGCCAATAAATAAGTTAGTAATAGTTGATTGCAGAAGTAGGCAGTTCTCTCTATTAACTAGTCCCTACTCTATCGTATTATTGAACAAAGAGCACTTTATCCAGGTTTTATATTTCATTTAGATGATGTTCATTATGGATGAGTGGATATCAGATACCGCAAAGTGTTTACCATAGACCTATGACAACATAGACGAGCGTGTGTGTGTGACAACACACTTCCCACACACCCGTGTTTATTTTAAATTACCATTAAAGCATTATGTGATACCCTGCATTTGAACCTATGACCTTTCAGCCTAATAATAATAACAGATCATTTAAAAGACTACGATCCATTTTCATATCTCTTGTAGTTACAATTTGACATAAGTCTTAAATATAGTATATGTTAGTCACTAAAATTTAAGATAAAGGCAGTGTATTGGGGTCCGATAATTCACACTAGTTATCAGAAAAATATTTAAATAGGCTCCTACAAGTACATAAGACGTAGGTTCTACCTTTTTCCTATCCACACACTGACTTGCTCTTGACAATTTAATTTACTTTTATGATAATTAATATTTTTCCCTAAACTCAATAATTTGTCAGTCTAAACATTTATAGGTCTGTACTAAATAAGTGGTTTACGCGTAAGTGGTGTTTGCGGCCGCTCTCTCTCCATAGCGTTTTATTATCGACATTGATTCGCCTCTTAACCGCACTATAAGTGGATTTTAAACCGTATTGGATTTATTCATCTGGCATTGGAAGGGTTAAACGGTTCTATTCACTATTCATGTTTTTAACTCCACTATCAGACAGAGATATAGATATACTGCAGTAAGTTTATAAAAACGCGATAAATATATCTTCCTGTTAGTAGTTTACGCGAGTACTACACATTTAAATAAGTAATCAGTTTAACGGTTTAAAACGCGAAATATATTAGTTAAAATTATTTTAATATTATTGTAACTACGTTTTATACTGACGTAACCGTTAAAGTGTTTTATTTAAAAATATGTCTTCGTCTTTTAAGTGACGAGCATTAAAATCACATTAAATCACTAAACAATACTGGTTTCAAAGTAATTTTAACAAATAATGTATGTTTAAATAAAACACTGTAACAGTTTAAAACGCGATATATTAGTTAAACTTATTTGAATATGGCCGTGGTCTCCCCGTGACCACGACTGCTGCAAAGCATCCGAAACGTCGGGCCGAAGTTAAAAATCATTTCCAAATAAGTTTAACTAATATATCGCGTTTTAAACCGTTTAAGTGTTTTATTTAAATGTGTACTACTCGCGTAAACTATAGACAGTATCTAAATAATGTATGATTTAGTTTGGTCTGTAGTTTACGCACATTGTACCTACATATTTAAATACAAAACTTTTAACGGTTTACGGCACGTAAAATAACTGTCGTCACGCTTGCTACAGAGCATACAAAACGTTGGCCGGTAGTAGAAATAAATTATAAATAACTTGATATATTTCTCGTCAAAAGTATTTTATTTAAATATTAATTTAAATAAAATAACATCAATGCAAAATAAATGAAAAATACGCTATCGAATATATTTCGCGTTTTAAACCGTTAAAATGATTTCATTTAGAGCCGTGTGCTATTGAAAATACATTTTAAAACAAATGAAGTCGATATAATGACATTGTAATCTTCTTTCATTATTTTCATTCTTTATTTTCTAATCATCACCGTATTGAACTATGGAGTTCAATACGGTGATGATTAGAAAATAAAGAAAGGTATGGACCTTTTTGTATAAAGTTGATACACTAAAAAGTAACTAAGCAAAGTTACAAAAGGAAGCAGATGAATTAAAAAAATCTTTGTTAACTATAATATTTCCGATTTTCTAAAACTCAACGCAAATAAGAAAACCAATGTTGACATTTTCACTTTTACTGTTTATTGGCCGCGTATTATCCGTCTCCCATCTGATTGGCCCATTTAAATAGGCTACCCGAGACGAAAAGGGATAGAGATAAGGGTTGAGGCTATACATCGTACGAGTGAAAGAGACGGATAGACACTTCTCAAGCACTTATCGGCCGTGGCTACCACTCTCACATTTAACAGCCCATGAGTCGGGCTAAATTATACTGGCACTACAGAATCAAATTTAAAACTTACTTACCAACTCAAGTTGGTAACTAGATATTTCAGAATAAACAATCTAGGCTTTTTTGGAGGGGGGGGGAGGGTCATTCAAAAAATACATTTATAAAAGTATTGATATGAGTCTAAAAGTACCGGTATAAGTGAAAATTAATGATTTACTTACATATTAAGTACTTATTAATAAATAATTCTTACTCGTATAATAATACTTTATTAAAAGATATACAGGAAGTATTTTAATTTAACACTTCGGAAAAAGAACGTGGGTAGTACTCGAACCCACTAACTCAGTGCTCCGTGCTTTTGCTTTTATTTATAAAAGTCTTCATTTGCAACATGTGACAAATAATAATGTCCCAAACGTACTAAAAATTTAATTGTTTAATTTAAAAACGTAAACTGGCCATTACAAAGTGACCGTACTATAAGCGACCCGTGAATGCCCGTACGCGGGTGATCAAATCAAGTCCACGTAAACATCTTCAAGAAAAACTCATCAATCCCCACCACTTAGCTACTTCTCAAGCTTTTTTAAAAAACGACCGCCCTAAAACGTCGCTATCTCTGTCTCTCGCAGGCCGCGCGCGAGGAAAATTAGATCTCCCGCCTCGCTCTAAGGCTTAGCCGAGCAGGCGGGCAATATAACACCCAAAGTTTATTCGTTTCAAAGCTTTGTGGTGAGACGCGCGCGAAGTGTTGAGGAGTTCAATGTGCGAATAAAAATGGAGTCGAAATTAAAAAATTACCCGACTTCCATGGGCTTGGACTGCGAGAAGACCAATTTAAATTTGACAACGCCATTTTCGATAAACGACATATTGACGAAGGAGGAGACGAAATGCGAATTTGAACATGGAATGTTTTCGAGGTTCGGCGGGAAAGTTAACTTTTTAAAACCGGCCGGTTACAATGATGAGTTTCCGAAGAAGGAGGTTATTGAAAAGAGTATGAAGTATTACGATGAGTGCAATAATTACAGAGAGTTTAACGATGATGGCGCCCTGGATATGTCGAGGAAAACGCTGCCGGTCACAGAACTATCAGGTATTTTTATTTAATTAGTAATTAAACGAAATATTATGTATAATTATAGATACGTTAACTATGGTTGAAAATATTTGCTAAAATGCTTCACCCAACCATCTAAACGACTAAATATATTTTAATTTAAAACCTAACGAATTGACCGGCAACAATATATCTTATATTAAAGGACTAAAAAAATATTTATTATTTATCTTTCAAAAGGTAACTTATAAACACCTAATGCTATCTTCTATATCTAGTACCTACTTAGGGTGCCTAAATTGAAAAGTATTATATTGACCTACTTACCCTATACCTACGTTTACTGAAGGTTCGTGTCTCGCTTGAGCGGTCGATTTTTTCGGTCTTTTAATTATCCTTTTCATCGAAGTTCAAATTTTAGTCTAGAGGCCTCAATGATAGAATTTCAACTTGCAATCGGTGCAACACTTTTGACTTACTCAAAAGAAATTTTGCCTTCGGTATCCATAGTAATTATTAATTTAAAATACATACCTATATAGTTAGGTATCTTATGACTAATTTTGAGGCCAAGTAGGTACTCGTAGTAACGTAGGTTGCGAGCCAAAATAGTTCAGATAAGACCATAATAGCTCGCAATAATAAACGTTTACTAAATATAATGTATTCTAACTACATACTTTTGAGTTTACTGTTATAGCATTGAAAACTTAGTGACGACAATATCACTTATGTTTTTGCTACTATGATTTTTTATAGGCGTACCTACCCGTTGAAATAAAGAAACATTTCTGGAGAAACTAACGACTGTAAACAATCTAATAATTATCGTTAAGCCTAAACATAAAAAAAATATTGTTCTAAAGAAATGTGATGCACGTTAATCTCTTTTATTTAGCTTAATTATGTTTAATCAATACGATCGACTGTTTGACGACGTCTATTTTTAACTGTTTTGAAAACAAAATATGCATGCAAATCTTTACATTCGACATAATATTATGTATCTATCATTTTCTAAGCAATACAAAGTGGTAAAAATCCGACAAGTTATGACGAATAACGTTCTACATTTAAATTTGCGGTCATGTTAAAGTATTTGAATTCTTAAATACAGAATTATTGCCAAGCTAAATTGATTTCAATTGTTCTGTCATAAGAATTAAAATATTTTGACCTAACCGCAAATTTAAATACAGAACAATAAAAGTGATCAAAAGAATTCCAAATTCAAATGACACGCAGGCGATTATTAGCGGGCGGGCGACAATGCGTGCGTAATGGCGCATTCACACTGGTGACAACGCGCGACGTCCCCACTTACGACCCTCATTACTTAAGTGATGACTTAGAGCACTAGGCGCTTTCAATCAAGTAATTACTAGGTACGACGCGTGCCTTGCCTTGAGCTATTCGGGAATTCGAAATTCGAAAAGTGTCGCGTCATTTAAGAACGCTTTAAGGAGCCTTTAAATTACCGTATTACCAAATATTTGAATACGAGGCGTATAGTCGCCATAAATAAATGTTATGGAAAAACGTGAGTACCTACAAAAACTACAGGAGGTACTTGTTTAATTTAAGAAATCGGGAAAAACTTCTAACCGTTTTATAAAAAAAAAACACTTGTTCATATTTGATGTTTTATTTTTAGGTAAAATTATAACTTTTCTTTGAATTAAATTTATGCAACGAATTTAAACGTCTTATTATTGAAAGACATTAAACCTAATCACATTCTAGTCACTAGTGCATAATAATAGAAATAAGTAATTTCATTCAAGATTATTAATCTGTTAAACACGCAAAATATACATCAAAGAATCATTATATACTTTATTTTAATTGTAATTCTCTAATGGATTCAATTGTTCAGGATTTCGGTAATGTAGAGACATTAAAATGAACTTAACTCTTTGCGATTTTCTGAACATTGATCACACTTTAATAAGTTTATGTCGTGGAAACTTAGCTTTTGTTACTGAGCTCTACTCTAGCTAATGGATTTCCAAACGATGTTTTATGAGGTATTAGTTGATGCTATAGAACGGTATGTTTACTGCAACATTTTAGTAATACAGAAGTTCTTAGACATAAAGATTTTTTCTAGCAATGAACAGTTATTATGGTTTCAAATGTAATTTTGTAGACTGATTAGATTCTAATTAATTATACTATCGAACTATCAAACAACTAAGTATCTTGACTTTATTGTTTGTCGTTATTATTAACACTTTCTCTTCTTTGTTCTAGATGATTACGACTCAAGATCGTCACACACAGGTTCACCCGTGCGCCGAAATTCCTCCCCAAACTCTGACATCAGCTACAAACCATTCAATTTACACTACGAACGAAAGTGTGCAACACCCCCCGACTCGCGACTGATGCATTCACCAAATTACTCCCTCGAATATTCACAGAGCAGCGGCAGGAAGAAGAGGTCCAGAGCTGCATTTTCCCACGCTCAAGTATACGAGCTGGAGAGAAGATTCAGCCAACAAAGATACTTATCTGGTCCAGAGCGAGCCGACCTAGCTGTAAGCTTGAAACTCACAGAGACCCAGGTGAAAATCTGGTTTCAAAACCGACGGTACAAAACGAAGCGTAAGCAGCTACAGATGCAAGAGAGCGGGATGCTAGCAGCAGCTGCAGCGGCTGCAAGCCACGCGAGGAAAGTCGCAGTTAAAGTCCTGGTCAATAACAATGGGCAGACGCTCCCTGATCTCAAATACCAGAGCCCGTTGGGTAAGACAGTAAATCCGGCGTTGTTTGCACCTCCAACTATACTAGAAGGTTCGCCAATATGGAAGCACTTCGCTGGAATGTACGGAGTCGATTTTACGAAAAATCCAGAGTACAAAGCGCTGCTACAAGAATCTTATAATCAAGCGGTCCTTCAGTCGCTGTATGGACCACATTTAGGTGTCAACTATCCCAACATATCTCTGCCGTACATGTATTACCCTGGTCATCCGTTTGGAATGCCCGTAACCTGTGATCTCGATAGGAGCCAAGGTGAAAGTAGTAGAGATAATAGAGAAATAGATAAAAAGGACGAGACAAAGAAGGTTGATATTAACGAAAATAGCAATGAGAGCATGGCTAGCAATATTGAAATTGAAAATTAAGAAACTAAATATTTAGGTTTGAATAAATGAGAAGTTGGTGTTACGTAAACAATACCAAAGGAATTGAAATCAAAAAGATTCTGCATTTACTTTTATCGGAAAATCGGTTTCTTTAAACACAAATACGTAAATTTTAAATAAGCAATTGTACAAAATGTCACCAAAGTTAGAAACCAAAGAGTAGAATACGTTTAATTTAGTTAGAACATTGTTAGATGTATATAATATGTTATTAGCGTTATGAGTCGCACTTGTAAATAGTACAACTTGTCTTTAGTTATTTACGATTAATAAAGGTACAATGCCGTTGAAAATGTATTTTTATTTTTGTCTAAACTGTTACGCAATTAATATCAAAATTGCTTAACTAAGATGTGAAAGCTTACCTAGTTATTAAGCTTTGATTGTGCCTTAAGAAAGATATTAAATTAAGTTCTACCTAAAAAATATTTAAGAATGTTTTTAAGATTGTCGAAGCTTGAAACAAATCTTGGAGTGGACTTTTTCGAGATCAACAATCATCAAATTTTATTTGTTGACCTACAATACCTGCCTACATATATAGGTAGACAGCCTCAATCGTATGTCCATGAAACGAGCTCAAAATTTTTCAAACGAAAAATTTTAGCGCTTCTAATACGTGTCGATATCTATATGAAATAAATTATTTTAGTCAAATAAAATCTGTATAGAATAGATTTGTTTTCTGTTTCACTGATCAACTTTAGTTAGATGAAAACTGGTCGAGATATAATTAAGAAAATACTAAATTGGTAGAGTAAATAACAAGTGGGTTCGAGTCCTTACCATGAATTTTAGGTTAAAAAAAGGCTCCTCGATTTCAAGTTACCTTTAAAATTATTTATATTCATGTCCAAATTAGCAAATGTTTTAACAATAATAAAGCTTTTATGCATCGATCGATTGACCACCATTTTGCTCTCTTAGACATGTGGCTAGAATTGGTTCGAATCCCAGTAAGCGATTAATTATTTAAATCGGGCCGAACACAGTAGTCTCTCTGTAATGTATCTACTCATTATGAAAATAAAAACAATCAGTGAAGAAGAATAAGACACAGGCCAATAAACGTGTACGCTTCATTCCCCACAACGGTAAAGGTACTTTACACATTTATGGATTCTAAAATTGGAAGATACGTAAGTCTAGACTAAATTAAAACGTAATATAAAGCTTTAAAAATGTCTTCACTAATAAAATCTTAAACCAAAAGACAATTTATCGCCACGTTCAGGAGTGGCTGGAAAATTGCGAAGTTACGAAGGTGATTGCGCCTCAAGTATACTCCCAACTCCTCGTCAAGAGTGAAGCGTGTCCGCGAATCAATGAAATTGTTGTTCCCGTTGGTTTAGTGTGGAACGGGCCTTACTGGAAATCAAGCTAAAAAGATTTGTGATATTCCATATAAATAAGTATCCACGAAATATTAAATAAAAGAATATATTTTGTGCTCTCAATTTTAAATGCAGTGCAGTGCAGTGCGCACGACTTTGCTCTAATTGGATTAAAAAAATATATAATATAAATCGCGTTTTAAACCGTATTTTATTGATAAGTGTTTTATTGTAATGTTTACTACTCACGTAAGCTACAGACAATATTTAAATAATATATCCGAATATCTAAATCCAAAAAAAAATTCTTGTTTAAAAGTCTGTTCTTCTCTATCATAGAATAAAAATAATATAGGAATGAACGCTGGTTATTTCCTTGTTTTAATAAATCAGAATTAAACTTGCTTTTGATTAATAAAGGTGGTATGATAGACGTTACATACAGTTGACGCTATACTTTATGTTCTTAAGTAAACTATAGATACCTTTCATAGATTCATTATATATTTTCTTTCGACAAACTACCACGATGAAAACGTAAACAATAACTAATTTTATCATCTAAAGCGTCATTTAACATTGTATTTTGTTTCACTATATTCGTTAGGTAGACTTATAGAATTAAATATTTAGGTATATATTAGGGTTCGCCTCCCGTACCTACGTGTTATTTTCCCAAACTATTTTAATATTGATTAAGTTACAGTGCCTTTTAAGTTCGTTGTTATAATAATAATAATAACAACAACAAGTAGGTAAAATGTGTTACCAATTGCATTTATAAGTCGAAAAAGCTCGTCAACAATTTCCCTAGCGAAAGAATGAAAATTCAAAAGCCATGTTCACACTAACGCGTCGTATTCTTATAAAATTAACATATGAATACGGCTCGAGCAGGCGGGAGGCGGCGAAGGTTGGAATTATGAAAATGCCAAGCTCCAACTTCCGGACGAAGAATTTTCTAAGACGCGCGTCTATACACTTTAACTCGTGTGAACTGACTTTACAATTTCTTCATCAACGTAATAGTAGACTTTTATCGCTATTTACTTACGAAAAAGATAATATTAAGAAGGAATAGTACCTTATAATCATATTAATAAATATATTTTAATTTTTTATTCAAACATGACTTAAATGTGTATCTCAAGTACATGCGTACACAGAGAAACGAAATCTAATCTAATCTATGCTACTATATAAAGCTGAAGAGTTTGTTTGTTTGAACGCGCTAATCTCAGGAACTAGGGGTCCAATTGAAAAAATATTTTTGTGTTGGTTGGTTAAGGCTATATAGGATACAAACGCGCTGTGACTAATAGAAGCAAAGATACAGCGGGAAATGTGCACAAAACAGTTGAAATTTTTCATCTCTGCGGGTTTTAGATACGTACGCTGCGGAAAAGGCCAAGACACCCAAAAATAGGTTAGGTTAGGTTAATTCTTGTATAAATGATCTAGAAAAAATGTCTGCGACACTATATGTCTATTTTTTATGATTAACTTGCAAGAACGACGGGAAGGGACGCGACGTATGTCGTGGATAACGTCTTAAGTTTATAAAGATGACGGGGTTTGCAACAAAAGAATTTGAATGTCCAAAATAACCATTCTCGCGGACGAAATCGCTGGCACAGCTAGTTATTAATAAATCATAACACCTTCTTTTTTTTCTTTTGTTTATAAGAAATAAATTATATTAAAAAAAAACCGTTTTTTCAAATGCCTTAAAAGCTATACTGAAAAAAAAAATAAGAAAAGCTAAAAAAATAAAACACATTAACGTTTAAAATGCAAAATATTTTAGTTAAAATGAGTTCGAGACAGTCACCCCGGGGCCACGGCTACTGCAAAGCATCCGAAACGACGGGCCATAGTTCAAAGAGGTTTAACTAATATATATCGCGTTTTAAACCGTTAAAGTGTTTTATTTAAAGGTGTTCTACACGGGTAAACAACAGACAGTGTTTAAGAAAAGCATTTTATCAAAAAGCACTACAAAAGAGGACACAGTAACAAATAATCATCGACAAACATAGAATATCGATAAAAAATAGAGATATCCCCATTACCTATAATTCGACTTTCCAAATAACTACTCAATACAATCATCATTAAATCATTAGTAAGGAAATGGAAGCACATGAGTGTATTATCGACTCAGTGAAGCTGTAAACATTGCATTACTGCTCATCCTTCTCAGGATTACTGGGGATGTGCGGAAATATCGATATCGATATCTCGTATTCGCTCAAAAAGCTTATTACAGCCCTAGAAATTATTATCAAATTTCGTGTTATAATAGTTTTGTACCCATGTATTATCTATAGTGATACAATAAGTAAAATTGTTGTGTACTTTTTTTAATATGTCTTCACTTAGTCGAGAAACGTGCAACATCTGACAATGTCATCTACTCTTTATGACTAAGCGTCGTACTTATTTTAATATGACATATACTTGAATATAGACAGAATACATTCTTATGACTATCTGCTGCTTTGCATTGTAAAAAAAAGCTTATATTTAAAAAAATATGACCAAATTTTCCATGAATTTAAAACACAAACAAATATCATATCGTGAACTTTATTTTGAATGAATCAACTTAACACAGTCTAGCATTTATGTTACTTCTCAGATCATGTTACTTGTTCTAAATGTATAGAGATTAGCTGTTGCACTTTATCGATAATTTCCCATCCCTATTCTGTACTGCATTAACATTAGTTCAAGTTACTCAGTGGCACGTGCGCCGGAAATGTCGTCAGGTAAACAAACACCCGTCACTAGTGTACATGAATGGATGTTAAATTGCTTTTAATTGCTGCTATCCTGGTGAAATTCAAGTTTAGGTAACGAGTTTTTAACTTAACTTAGAACCGCGAGTTTAATATTAAATAAAACTCGAATATCTAGCTTAAGTCGCTATAGGTAATTCACTATTAAGTTGGAATTTCTTAACTTAGTATAATGTGTCTAAAATCCTTTTCCTCCCATTGGGGCATGGGGCGGATACATTTCTGGATCCGTTTCTCGATTAATGTAACTACTTATAGACAAGTTGATCAGACTAGCTTGTGCTAAAAGAGAAGTTTATAAAGATGACGGTGTTTGCAAAACCTAATTTGGATGCCCAAAATAACAATTCTCGCGGACGAAGTCGCTGGCACAGCTAGTATTGGCATATAACTACTAAACAAGTTGCGATGTCGACCTATTTTGACTTTTGATATTCGGAAATCCACAGACTGAAACCGAAACTCGACTAAAACACTTTAACGGTTTAAAACGCGATATATTAGTTAAACTTATTGGAAAATGATTTTTAACCACGGCCCGACGTTTTTTTTTTAATGTTTACTACTCGCGTAAACTATAAACAATAGGTATTTCACGCTTTTTCATCTGTGAACGGTAGCTGGTGACCTGGCCGGATTGAGTTACCTATATGTAATAAGATGTATGCTTTTATTGTTACCCACCGCATGTGCAAACTGTAACCGTTAAGTACAATATGCAGCAGATTATCGTTTGATGACCATTGTAATGACTGTTTCCCATCAACACTGTTTACATCAAACATTTGCTGATAATCACTTTATTTTATGCGTTTCTCATCAGAATCACATTTTGTGTTACGTG